ATTAATAAAATAATTAACTGAACTCATTTATAAGTATAGAATAATTGATTTACAAAGAGAAAACAACATTTTATAAACAGATTTCATTGCATATACATGCTCTATATCTATTGTATTACAAAGAAAATGGAAGCTATGAATAATTTCAATTTTTATTAAAAAATAATTATCATCTAATAACATTTAAATAAATCATATTAAAAAAATAACACATTTATTTTATTCTACCGTTATCATAAATTTTTAGAACTAGTCGTAATACATAACATGATATTATATCTAATAAATTATGAACTAAGTATTCAGACGACTCTATAAAGTTCGAATTGTATTTCATGACTAATATAGTAAAAGCATATAAGGTAAACATACTTGTTTAATATTAAATTAGATCTCTATATCGTGTTATATATATATATATATATATTATGACTACCATGGAATTAAATCAAGATAACAACTCGTTATCAAGTGCACCTATATAAATAATATAGTATTAACTATATCAATGTTTAATGAGATCAAATGTTTCATATGAATGATATTACTGCAACTAATATATTCAGAATAGAAGTATTAAAATTACATTCATCATTTCACTAGGAGCCTCGTGGATTTCGTTTGTCACATCATTTTATATTAAGAGACATTAATCTTTTGTTCTTTGCAACATAAGGAGCAATTGATATATGCAGACAGACTGAGAGGGCAATAGACTTGTTTTTCCCATAAAAGCTGCAAAATGCAAGTGTTGCCACAAAATCCGAATGAACTAAAATCATACAGAAATTGACAAACCTATCCCGAATCGAAAGAATTACGATCCTTTTAGAATAATAGTGGGTCAGATTCGGATTTTATGAAATTTTTCTTAATCCAATTTGTTGGCATCATAAGACAAACTCAAAAGTAATATCAGAAGAAAAAAAAATATTTCAGGTATTGGTTAAAAAAAACCCACAATAACTTTCATTATCTTCCTTTATTCAAAATAATTATTTCAATCGTTACTAGAAGAAACCAAGTTAATGAGCTACAAATTGAAATCCAGATCAATTTCCTAAATGATTTCCATGAAAAGAGGGTGGTATTACTTAAAGCTGTTTCCAGAGGTAACTTTGTAATCAGTTTCTCTGGTGTTCAAGATAAATTTAATCCATACAGGAGAATTTCAGCAGTGTCCTTGCAAATAAAACACACTACTTGACCTGTGAATGAAGTTACTCGTGCGCAGGAGACTCTTCCTCTCTAAAATGTCTTCTCTGGATCTTCCTTGCGCTTGCCTAAACCCTTTAGACCAGCAGCAAGATTCTGCTCCAAAATCATTTGTAATTTACAAATTTTGACGCCATAGTTTTGTCTGCAATGTTAGTTTCTTCTTCGGTCATTTCAATTGTTTCATCACTGTCATATCCTGCTGCATCCTTGGAGATGGTTTTATTTCTTCCATTGTTTCTGCTTTCATCGGTTTTTGGCTTTTTCTTCCTGGCAGGTGAACCATCACCTAACTTGCTCAGTTCCTCCTTGTATATTTTCTTGCATGCCTTAGCTTGTTTGCAAAGATCTTCCTTCGAGAGTGAGGTTGAATCATTTTTGGTACTCTCAATCCTTACAAGCTCCTCAACTATGCGAGGAATGAAGTTCCACTGCTCCGTTACAAGACAAACATCCTATACAGCAAGGGTGGGAAAAAATTCTTAACTAAATATGAAAGCAAACTAAAGTATAGCAAAATCTTAGCTGGAAACCTTGATTAGAAAGATCTATACTGGAA